GCTTTCATCTATAGAGATGAGTACATCTGCTTCAAGAGGAAGCATTTTCTCACTTACTTCTCTTCCTTTCTTCTGAACTACATTATTACCACCTTTTCAATGGCTTTTCTTCACAGTGAAGTCCAAAAACATGGTCTTCCCAAGTGCCAAAGTTGAAGAACACTGAAAACAATCAAGCACTCTAAACTTATAATGCAAATACAGACTATTTCAGCATATTAACAAAGGTCATATTGGTACCATTTGAATAGAAACACTAATTCTTTTTAGATAAACATTACATATAAAAATGGTACTCTCACCTGGAGACCCTTTTAAAAATTAGAACAAGAAGCTTCTATAATGCCCCTAAAATGCTAGTTCAAAATTAAAAACAAATAAACACAAATTTAAATTATAACAAATTTGAAAATATTGACATGGGAAAGAACGTAGGAAAATGTCAAGATGAAAAATGGTACTTGTGGAGTTTAAACTATCTTTTTGTTTCTAGCAACATATAGAAGGGTGCAGTACATTTTCAACAAGGTGTGTAATGGAGCAGGCAGATTTGGCTGACATCTAACATGGCAAAATGAGTCAAAGGCGATCACAGTGTCTCTAAGAAAACAATTTCCTACTGGTCTCAATTTGGTTTCCTTGGTTAAGTTTACCTACCAGGGAGAGAAAGTACTAATAAGCTGAAAAAAATATCTAGTCAACTGGCAGTTATAATTGTACACAAAAATTAATAAATTGTACTCTCAGGTATAAATTAGTTGCCTGCAAATATTATTAAGCTGGCTTAGCGATCCGAAGTCCTCATTACTTTCAATAAGTATAATCAAATTGTAAGCTAAAAGGTCAGATCTAGGACCATGGTAACCTCATTAGGAGACATTGCTTGGGAGGCTCAGCTTGAAGATTTTGTCAGCTTCTAATTAAAATTGTAATTACTAAAAAATAAAATAAAATAAAATTGTAATTACTAACCTTCAGGGAGCCAGTGGATCTTAAAGCTCATGATTACCACTTACTGTATGCATTCCTTAATAATTCGGTATCACCTACAAAGCTTCTTAATAAACCCAGATAGCTTTTTCACGAGTGCCTTTACTGTATAATTCTATAATGCAATTTTCAGCTCTAAAAATCTTTTTTTTTTGTATTTTTATACAATGGAGTATTACTTGGCTATAAAAAAGATAAACTCAAGGCTTTTGTAGGTAAATGGATGCAACTAAAGACCATATTCATAAGTAAAATGTATCGGACCCACATGTGTAAACATCATATTGTCTCCTTGGTTTAGGAACCTGAAGGAATACATAAAACTCAAAACATACAATAGATGATAGAAAAGGGAAAGAAATTGTTCAAAGGAAGGAACGACTGGGATGACAGAAAGAAGAAAAAAGAAAGGCAAAATATAAATATATATATATATGAATAGCTGCAATAACTGTATTGCTGATGTCTGATGGTATACAGAAATGAAGTTAATGCTTAAAATTTTTTACGTTCTGATCAATTTTGTATGCTTGTATCTAGTAATCTGGGCAGCTGATTTGAAGGTGACAATATGCAATGGAATTAGCATGGTGAATTCCTACCATGTTGTCTAGTGAAATTCTGCATTATCTCTAATGTTTTATCCAATAATTATTTTCTTATTCTCTTTAATGGTTTGAACAATCTTCTGTTCTTACATCTAGTAATCTAAGCAACGTAGTTGAGGATAGCGATAAGTAATATAACAACCACCGTTACTTTGTATTTTGTCTTGAAACCTTGTATCACTTTAAATGTTCTTGCTTTGGTTTGTTTATGTTTGTAATACTGGTATGCTGCTATTGTTCTATTTTTTTGTTTGTGTCTCATTTACTACTCTCTTTAAAATAAAAAAAAATTTTTTAAATAAATTTTTTTTTTTTTTTCCTTTTTCAGACAGGGTCTTACTTTGCAGTTAAGGATGGTCTTGAATTCACTTTGTAGCCCAGGCTGGCCTCGAACTTGCAATGATCCTTCTCCCTGAGCCTCCTGAGTGCTGAGATTACAGGTGTGCACCACCATGTCTGGCTTAAAAATCATTCTAGTAGGAAGAATAATATAAGTGTGTGAAGGATCACAAAAGATTATCCTAGATATTATATTATCTAAAAGAAGAAAGTGGCAAGTAAAGGGAAGGAGAAAGAGGACAGAGGAAGAGGAATAGAAAAAAAGAAAGAATAAAGGAAAGGAAATGAAGAAGGGAGAGAGACAGGGAGACAGGGATAAAGGGCATTTCTTTATTATTTTAATTTGCATTTTCTGGAATACTAGTAGGACCTACCATCTTTTATGATAACCATTTTAATTTCTTCTGTGAATTGCCTGTTCATATCACGTTTTTTCTCTCCCGCTTCCCTCCTTTGGTAGATCTCTGTGTATTAGATATCAATTATATTCCTAATAAATGTTACATTATTTTGTATGGCAAAATGTTATTTGATGGCTTGCTATCCTTCAAGGTTTTTATGGCATCTATTGCTATATATAGAAATTTTAAATTTTTACATAATTATCTCTTATTTGTAACATTTTAAAAGCTCTCCATTTCCAAATAATAAAATATTCTGCCATACTGTTTCTAGCAATTTCAATGTTTTAGTGATATTTAAATTTTTAATCATAGTGGGAGGTTAAAACTATTTTAAAAAATATAAGATTCTCCCCCACTCATTTTGTGGTTTAGCCAATGTTGTCTTTACTACAAGGTCAGAGAAGTACATTGTGTAAAATAGAAAAAATCTAAAAGGCACAGTACATAAGAAAATTCTGTTTGTTTGGGTCTGCTTAAAAATCATCTCCTTAAAAGGACTTTCCTTGACCATCTAGTCAAACCCTAGCTTTCACCATCTTTCTGTCCTGCTCTATTTTTGCACTCTCTATTACTAGTGGAAAAAATTGTAAGACAGTTTACCTGTCTCACTGTGAGGGCAAGGGGCTCTATATTCTTCACCACTACACATCCAGCATCTAAAACCATCCTGATAAGTTAAGAAGTTATATAATCAAATCAAAATCAAAAGTACCAGGTAAGCTAGAAGAGGTGAAGCTTTATCCCATTAGTCACTGGATTTAGGCCAGATCAAGATGTATTAAAGAAAAGAACAAATATGCATGTTTTACTTAGAAGTTCATACTACTTTAAAAATAAAATCTTGCTGGATGTGGTAGCACACACCTGTAATCCCAGCACTCAGGAGCCACTGCTGCGAGTTTGAGGCCAGCGTGGGCTACATGGTGAGTTCAAGGCCAGCATGAACTGCATAGAGAGACCCTGTCTCACAGATAGATAGATAGATAAATTAATTAATTTTTAAAAATAAATAAAATAAAATAAATCTTACCTAAAAATCAAAGTAGCCCGTTTACCCAGTGTATTTACACATTTTATTCTTTACTATGAGGCTTGTTAAACACATTAAAGCACATCTATGTAATGAAATACTAACTGGCCACTAAAAAAGATGTAATGCAACTATATTTATTGATATAAAGCTTACGGAAAAAAGTATGCAACAAATTTATTCACTGTCCCATATTTGTAAAAAGAAAACACCTAATATATACATATGTGAATGTAAATGTACACACAGTTTAGAAAATATACTTCAAAACACAGTATTCTGAATATAGAGACTGGGTTTGATTTTTGTTTTTTTCCTATTTCTCTCAAATAAACATGTACTCATGTAAAAAGGACAAGTGTTTTAATGAAGAAATGTGTAATACTGTGAGTAAATGGCTTGCATTTGGCACTAATCCCAACTCCTTACTAGTATATATTCCCATGCTGCAGAGACTAGAAAGCTAAAAAATAATTTCCCAGAAAACCCTTGCAGAAAAGCCCATGTAAGAAATGAAAAGCAAAAGTAAGATAGAAGCCAACTAAGTCTCCCTTCAGATATTTTCAAGGGGCAAGTTTAGCCATGTGGAGGTTGTGTACACCCTACTTATCAATAGGCAGTTGCAGCAGGTTCCTCACTCCTGGAACAAGACTATTACAACATACTCTAACTTCCACAGCAGTGGTGAACTCCTGGGCCAATACGTACATGCTTTGCTGGGACGCTTTTCTGGAGACTCACTCTTGAGGCCATTCCTCCCAATCTGCCAATAACTTTGCAAGGAGCTAAGGTAGTTTCAGAATTCCCAGTAGTGGCACTTTATTTCCTGTAAGTCACCACTGATACAAAAATGAAAAACTGCCTATCAGCAGGTTTTTAAATAATATATATATAACTAAACCTAATTCAAATTACAGGCAGAGGATGCAAGTCTAAGCTCAGAAATAAAGGTGCACAATAAGGACAAAGGATCACAAAACACATTATAATGTTCTATGGTCATTCTTGTTAGTAGACCTATGGGGTAACATAAATCTTATTTTGTGTATCAATTTCCTCTAAACTTTTTTGGGAGAAGAATACAAAAGAATCAGTGGGAAAAAAATTTTTTGAGTATATCTTGAAGTGTTAGAGGCAACTAGGAGAGTTAATCTGCATGAAGCATCATAGAACACACAGAAATATGTACCAGTCCTAAATAAGGGAGCAATTCCCCATAGTCATGATCCCAGGACAAATATTTGCCTAGTTTAATGGCACAGTCCAGCTGACTGCTCTCTGCTAGCAAAGAGGCAGCTATCTTGGAAGCTAAACACAGACGTAACACTACCCAGTGCTGCAGCACTGGCAAGTTTCCTTGCTTGTAATAGCAGAAGCACATCCCTCTGAACAGGCTTTTTTAAAAAGTATAAAACATAATGGAAGTGCTTTCACCTACCCAACCATTAAATGAGGTTTCATAAATGACAAAAGTAAACAAAAAAGATTTTAAAACAAATTTCCTTCAAAAATCCACCTAAGTAATATTTTATCTATTTCAGAATTGCTTCTTATTCCTCTAGTTTCTCTACTACTCAATTTAGCTTCATAATTCAGCTTCAAATCAGCAATACACAGGACCAAGACAAGGACAAGTCATACTTCTTTATTCACAAGCAGAAATAACCATGAAGTGTCACAATGCATTTATAATGATTAAAGAAGCAGACAAAATAAATCATTCTTAAAACTATAGAAATTCCTATCAAGAAACTTTATCAGAATTGGACAAGAAAAAACCCTCACATCTATTAACCTAGTTTTATAAAGCTACTTTATAAATGTCATTGCATACTAGTTACTCTTATTAACAGTATCTCTCTATGAGGAGTTTTTAATTTTGATGGACTTAAATTTTGGATCTTTTAAAGGGGTATTGCTTTCTGTGAGCTAAGAAACCTTTGGCTGCCCACGTATCACAAAGATATGCACCTATGTTTCCTACAAAAAAAAGCTTTATACTTTGTAGCTATTGCATTTTGGTCTATGATCCAACTCAAATTCATTTTGGTGAGGTAGTGGCATCATGGTTCATTTTTCCCAATGTGAATATTCAGCTACATTATCCTGGCTCCAGTTCTTGAAAAGATTTTCCTTCCCTGTTCGATTGTTTTGTCACCTCTGTTAAAAGTCAAGTGATCAGAAAAATAAATATCTGTTTTCAGGTCCTCTCTCCTATTCCACTGATTTGATTACTAGATACTATTTTCTACAATAGTTTGTTATTGTTATTTTATTGCTTTATTTAAGCCTTAATAAAATAGAAATTAAATGAATGAGATCAAAATGAGCCTAAGATAAATTTTGAAAATTGTATGACAGCTTTGCAACACTCCATAATTACTACTGTATCAAGACCAAAATATGTTGACCCACAAATAACTGAAAAACTATGTATACTTCTTTATTACCTTCAACTGGAATTACATACAAAAACTATTTCATTAATTTTTCTTCTAGATTTTCTCCCAGGTTTCCTCATATTGGTTCTAAATCATTTAATAAAATCACAATTAGTAAGCTTTAAAAAGAAATCCTAAAGAAGTCATGTGTTAAAGCTGGAAGATGGGTACACATTCTACTTTATGAAATAAATTATGAATTTATTTTACAATAAATAATAAGATGTTAAAAAGGTCATATATCAACTTTAAAAATGTGCTTGGTAAAGAAAAACGTAGACTAGTTCCTTTATAAAAAGAAGTTTTATAAAATTTCCTTTGAAGTTTAACTTAGAAAAGAAGCTTAAAAACAAGAATACAGTACAATATTAATTTACAAAATAAAAACCAGAGTAACTCCCAAAAGGGAAAAAATATAATCTGTTATGAGCAAATTGTACATGACTCTTAGAAACTGTAGGCTCTACTAATTTTATTCAAATTAGCATAGACAGTTCTCTACTACCACTGCATTTTTTTAAAAAGCAGATAAACTGAACGGTCAAACTTACAATTTTCAATAAAGATACAGTTCAACAGCATGAATAAAGGTTGCCCATGGAGAGTAAAGCCAAAACTCTTTAAGATTCACAATTTGTTCTTAACCTAAAATTTTCTTTTGAAATATAATATCTAGACTTTTCTAGATACAATTATACAATTAACTCCAAACACTTCAAGAAAGTTTGCTAAAATACAACTGGAATATTTATTACCTTTTCTATTTGAATCAGTGAAAATCACTAAAAACTGTACCTGCATTCTTTTCAAATGATCTGCATAAAAATCAAACAATCAGTAAGATAAATTCAGTTTTAGAGCCTCAAAACATAGCAAAGACAGAAATATTGATTTTCCATTAATGATAAGAAACAGAAGATTCAACTTAATTTAGAATTGATATTTATAAACTGGAAGCTAAAAAAATCAAAAGATCAATTAGGACAATAATTAGAGAATATCATTTGTGCATTTCCAAGGTTCATGACTATAGTTACATATCCAGAGTACCAACAAGAGTTCTCAGCTCCAATGTCAAATAACTGAATTTGGGCAAGCACTCTTAGTATCACTTTTATTTAATATGCACTACATGCACATGATGCAGGTGGGGATAAAGTTTATGGATCCATGCATTACAGACAAGATAGACTGGTACTTTTGCCAAACGTGCAGGAGTCAATTAGGACACTGCTCAAAGTTCCTTAGACTTAATGGTTTCCGTGAGAGTAAGTTTAGATGTAGAGTTGTGTACATATCCCAAAGCATCCTCCTCATTTGGTTTCCTGAGCTTTTTTTGCATTCTGTTTTTCTTTTGCCTAAAAATTAAAAACAATGTATTACAAAATCTTCAAATATAATTAAAATTTTTTTCCTTTTACAGTGTACCAATGAGATTGTAAACATTAATGCATCAGGTAATTCTGTAACCACAGACATTAATGTAAATATTAGGAATAACTTAAAATATTTTTCAACCTTACTTTTTATTATTTGGTTTTTTGAGACAGGGTCTCTCCTATATCATTTAGGCTTGTCCTGAACTCACTATGTAGTCCAAGCTGGCCTAGAACTTGCAGCACTCTTTTTGTGTCAGTCTCCCAAGTGCTGGGATTGAAAGCATATAACACCACCACCAAGTGAATCATAGCATCTTGAATTTTGTGGACAAAATTCAATATTGTAAAGTGAGTTTGGATTTCCATGGCAATTATATCCATGATTTTACATGTTATAGGTAGTTGTTTAAAACTTGGGACAGATGATGATTCAGAACCATAGGTTGAGATAAAACTTTTAAAAGAATTATAAGAATACTTGAAAAAAGTAGAGGTTTCACAAGTAGAATCAATCTAGCTCATTTTATTTTACATTTTATGAAACACATACGGTATATGCAACAATGTCTTATAATTATTTTCAGTTATTTCTGAGTTTTTATGTAATATGCATAGTCCTTATATAACAACAAATTTGTGAGTTAAGATCTTAGCCTAGTTATAATAGCCATATGCTCAAGAGAGAATCAAACTCTTTACCTTTTGTTACTATTACGTAAAGTGAAAGCATTTTAGCTCAAATGCTTTTATGCCACCACAGGTTGTAGGCAACTGCCTCAGTTACTAAAAATATCTAATCCTGAACAGGCTTGAGATTCTGCACCACTGTTCATAGGAGCTATGTCTTTCCTATTTGGTTCCTCCTACCCCTTTAATAATTTGTTTAATAATTTATTCTCTTTAACATTTAAAAAAAAGCATTCAGTTAATAATTCTTTTCTGAACACTACAACAGATTTTTCTTGCAAGTATTATCACTAAGTAGTCATTAATATCATACAGCTTTTATGACTATCATTATAAAATCTAACCTTAATTTATTCTACTCATTTTTCAACTTAACTTGTTTCACTATGCAGTTCTGGCTGGCGTTCAGCTCACTTTGTAGCCCAGGCTGGCCTTGAACTTGCAATGATCCTCCTGCCTCAGCCTCCCAAGTACTGGGATTACAGGTGTGTGCCACCACGCCCGGCTCAAGTTACTTTTTTAACATTTATATTTATCAACAGAAGGTGACAATTCAGTATCATTTTCTTTTCAAAATAGGAAATTTTTGTTCTACTTTTTCTTTTTTTTTTTTTTTTTGCGCTACCGGGGATTGAACTCACAACCTTGCGCTTGCCAAGCAGGCACTTATGCCACTGAGCTATATCCCCAGCCCTGTTCTACTTTTTGAAAACAGAAAGAACAAAAATATATTTGTTTTAAAGCTGACAAATTGACAAATTATACAATTACTTCCAATCACAGATTTAAAATTTTGTGAATATTAAATTTTAAGTGAGTGTAAAGTTACTTAGGAGTTACTCTGTATCTACCCAAGACTGTTAGCATGATTTTTAGTTCAGCACTGATTAACTAATAAGAATACTATTCAGTACAGTACTAAATTGTTTATTACTCTTCCAAACTCTATGAAAAATTGTTTAGGAAATTATTATTTTGTATTAATTATGTGTATATTCCTAGACCTTAACAGAGTGCCAGGAATATAGCTGCAGCTAGGTAAATGACTGATGAATAATTAAAAACATTTGGTTGGAATTTAGGCATGCCAATCAAATGAGAAATTATATTTATTTATTTATTTTTATTTTATTTTTTTTTGGTTTGGTTTTTCTCCGGTACCGGGAACCGAACTCATGACCTTGCGCTTGCCAGGCAGGCGCTTTTGCTGCTGAGCTAAATCCCCAGCCCCTGAGAAATTATAAATATTGCATATATATAAGAAATAAACATCTCAATAATGCTTACACAGTAGTATTAACAGTTTCAAGAAACAGGTGAACTAGAAAGTTAAAAACCGAGTTCATCAAAAATACAAAGGCAAACAAGAGACTACAATAATCATGTACTGCCACCTTGTGTCCAAAAGGTGAACCAAAGAATTACAGTTCTAAAGCAAAGCTGAAAATCTCTCTGGAGATAGAGGCTCATGAAAACAAAGCAACAAAACTTTTCCTAATTTGCACAAAAAAATATATTCAAAGACCAACTCTCAGACAAAATTTATACATTTAAAATCATCTATGGGTTCCTAATAAAATTTATATAAAATTAAATTGGACATTTATCACATGACTTAGTTATTATATGTTGTTATTTTGTTTATTTATTTTTTGGGGGGGAGCATCGCTATGCAGTTAAGGCTGGCCTCCATAGTGAACCTCCTGCTTTAGCCTCTCAAGTACTGAAATTACAGGCATGCACCACCAGCTTATTTAATATTTTTAACAGAGACATATTGCATATGTCTCTCTTTAGGTAGTCTGTTAACCAAGCAATTTTGAAAATCCACAGGATCATATTGTTAATTTAAAACTGTAAAAATCAGTTTCAAATCTTGGAATACCTTGATGAATGAATACAAAAAAGCCTTATGTGGAAAAGACAAGATTTAGCAGTTTTCTACAATAATTTTTGCATTTAATGCTAAAAGGTCACGTTTCAGGTCTTTAGGTAAACAAAAAAGTCTCATATTATCTGAAATTTGTAATATAAAACAGCTGAGATGAAATATATCTTTGCTTTGTTAACTTTCAATAAATAAGAAAAATATACCTACCTACTAGGTATTCTGGTCTTTAAACTAATGATTCAAAATTTCATTTACCTAGTACTGTCTTCTCAAAGTGTTTCTCAAAATGCAATGCACAGATCACTTGAGGGAACTTATTAAAGATTCTTTCTCCTGTATCAGAATATATCTGGGGAGGTGCCAGGTTATGTATACTTTACAGTATTCAGCTACAGTCATTTTCAAAAATGCTGATTTAAACTATAAAGCAATTTAATCTGTGTTTCATTTATTCCACAAATATCAGAAATCATCCTTAATTTATGTTCATTACACCTCAGTGGAAGGAACAATACATTAGGAATAAGAAAATTGCTGGGCATGGTGGTGCATGCCTATAATCCCAGAACTTGGGAGGCTGAGGCAAGATCACCATCAACTCAAAGCCAACCTGGGCTACATAAGCGAGTTCAAGGCCAGCCTGTGCTACAACAGTGAAACCCTATCCCCCCCAAAAAAGGAGTAAGAAAACCTCTTTCTTAGTCTAGACTCTTTTTCTCCCTTCAAATTTTTTGCCAAACTAAATGCGAGGGGGCAGGGGGGGACTTTTTTGGTAGTGAGGCATTTGAGACAGGATCTTGCTATGTATTCCAGAATGGCCTTGAACTACTATGTATCCCAGGTTGGCCTCGAACTGGTGGCAATCCTCAAGTGTTGGCATTATATGAGTGTGCCACCACACCTGGTTTTATTTCAATTATTAACATTAAAAATTTGTTTTTGTTTAAAGAAAGCATATTTTATTTTAAATTTTACTTCAATAATATAACAACCTGACACTAGACTCTAAGAACTTTGTAGGGCTACAGCACTCAGGCAACTGTATTTTTATTTTATGGTACCAGGATTAACTAGTTCCAGGATTGTAATACTAGGTAAAAGCAAAAAAATAAAACTGAAAAGCTTCAAGAAATTTTATCTCCACTCATGCCAAAATAAAACAAACTAGACTAGACTTAAACACTCACCAGTAAAATACTTACCTTTTCTACAAGTGGTATTAACTGCTGGTGTTCCGCTAAAGTCTTTAACAATTCCATAATGAAAGGCAGATAATTATGTTTCCTTCTGATATTTTCAATCTGAAATAAAATACAATAAATTGCACTACATTTCTATTAATTTTCTGATATTTTATTTTTTGTATCCAATTAAAAATAGTAATGGAATAAAATCCTCCATGCCCATAATAAAAAGTACTAGAAATAATGAGATTCTGTTTGCACTGAGAATGAAGATTAATACAATAGAACATATGGGAAGAGTTTCTTGTGCATGGCTTTAGCACACTCAGCAAAATCTTTTCAAAGTCCAGCCTAATATTATTTATGAAAATGTAAAATATAAAGCAAAGTTAAGGTCTATGTGATAAATTAACACTCTTATTACTATACCTATGCAAATAATCAGACAAAGCCTACAGAAACCGGCTTTATTTTGTGGAAGGAGACTCCAAGAAAAAAACCTGCTTGCAATAGAAAACTGCACTGTTTAGAGAATAACCCATTTTTTTTAAGTGGTTCTAGTATTTCACTAATGATGGCAATGAACAGGTCTTCTCTCTGGCAGAGATTCAACGAACTGCTCTTCTTCAATAGCTTTTATCTTTTAAAAATTTATTTCAACATTACCTTACTTCACTTAATTTTAGCTTCTCTGAGGTGCCTTTTGGACGACCTGTGACATCTCTGTAGGCGCCTACTGTTAATCATATTAAATTTTAACACGTATTCATTTTGTGTCAGTATAAGAATTATTTTAGCTTTTTAAAACAAAGCATTGCCAAATACTGTAGCAAAGCTTCTGAAAATTTAATTTGTTTTATTTTTGTAGACATTAAAAATTAATGAAATAACAACCCTATATAAGAATGTATGACTAATGGGAAGTTCGACTTTTTAAAATATTATGTGAAATGGGAAATAATGGTTAAATTTCATCACTTCCTTTCCTGTCCCCAAAAACTTAGCCTTTCCTTTGTTCTGTCTAGAATATGCTGGAACCTGCTCCTGCTACTTCCACCTGAAGAAGTCTACTAGTTCAATGTCCACTTATTTTTATTTAACAGTCATTTGTTGCCTGTTAAGCATAATGCAAGGCACTACACTGACACTGGTGGGTAACACAGGGAAGAGGGTAATTCTTGCCTTCAACTAAGCTTCAAATGAAAAAGATCCTTTTATTATTATAACACGCTTGACAACCTAAGTCCATATCTAAAGTCACATAAAATTCAAAGGTGCCTTCCCTTACCATTCTCAAAAAGCTTGAACAGATTAGAAGTGAAGGAGAATGCCACCATAAAGAGAATCTTGTTTTTATATTTGACTCTGAATTATGTATTTGATAAAACTAAAAATTAAATAAGAACTTTTAAAAATCCCAAAAATGTGAAAGCAAAAGAGAAAAAAATTTTAAGTGAAATTTAAAACACTGTGATTTGATTGGATGTTTAAGATGGAATATATCTTAAGGAATAAAACAAACTTTTAAAAACTTTTGAACTGTTATCATTACTGGTACTATTATTCTGAAGCTTTTAACACATACACACACTATACATATAAATCAATCAAAAAAATATTTATGCTAAAGTTGATAGGAACCAAAATTTTTAGCGTTTAAGAAATGCAAATTCCTGGGACTGGGGATTTAGCTCAGCAGCACAGTGCCTGCCTGGCAAGCGCAAGGACCTGAGTTCAATTCCCAGTACCAGAAAAAAACCAAAAAAAAGAAATGGAAATTCTTAACTTCAAGTATGAAATTTTTCATCTGAATTTTGATTATTAATATAAATTCTCCTTGTATTTTCTTTTCAAAAATAAAGCCAGAAAGAAAACTATTTTTTTTCCTTTGGGAAGGCCTAGAAACAATGATCAATCAGTAGCACTGACCAGTGTCAGCAACCAGATAATGGTTTTTAAATAACATTCACTATGGTGAAAATTCGGGAGTTCTTCAAAAAATAGCTGACTCCAAGTCTGAAGCAAGAAATGTACCAGAGGAGTCTCAAACCTCGTGTCACACCAGAAAGGAAGAAAGATATGAAAAACAAAGTGGTATGTCAAAAAGACTTAGTAAACAGCCTGACGTAGTTCCCAATGGCCAAAGATAGGTTCATTGAGTATAGTGAAGAGTAGTAACTGCAGTGAATCAAAGCATCAAATTGCTAAAAATCTGTTATTTAAAACACTTCTAAAAATTCTGGGATGGAGATACAGCTCAGAGGTAGAACACTTGACTAAAATAGGCAAGGACCTAGGTTCAATCCTCAGCACAGCAAAAAATTAAATAAATAAATAAATAAAAGTCATACTACCTGTATTTGTAGGGTATCAGAAAACCAACACATTATCCTAAAAACTGGTAAATGATAAGAAGAAAACAAATCAAATACTCAACATACTTTCATATCAAAATATCCTGCTTTTTATTAAGATATTAAAGTAACAAATTTTAAAACATACCTTGTATCTTTTTAATTTTTGTACCTCTTCTTCAATAAGCATCTGATTTTTGGCAACTTCTGACTGAATAGCACTTAACATATTATTACCCTGATCTGTATCCATGGGTTCCTCCTTAGAGGGAAGAAAAATACCAAACCCTAATGATTGAAGTTTACATCCAAAATATTTTTAAATGATTAACATAATACAATTATTTTCAAATTTCTACTTGTAATGTTAGTAACAGAATATCAGCCTAAAAACAGCAATATTAAAAAATAAAACTTAAATGTACCTTCCATAGTTCTATGTTTCTATAATAACATGTTTGAATTTTTACCTTAAAAAAACTATACTGTAATATATTACATTGCTATAATCTTCTACTAAGGTATAAGATAAATCTGCTTCTATACACTTTTAAGAAAATGTGACCAAATAATAAGACTTTGTCTACTACTAATTCTCTTTTCTAATCATATTTACTACACATAGATAATCATAAAGACAAGTAAAGATTATATATGAACAAAAATTAGATCACTGAGAATCATATTCTAACTTGCTCAAATATATAATAAAATTACACATAAATAGTTCACTGCTAGCATTGACTTCACATGTATGATCTGTCATTGTTTCAAGTGTTTCATTTAATGCTCCTAACAATCATTTAAGGTAAACACTACTGAATACTACCCTCATGCTGCATGAAGAAAGAGAAATCCACTAAGTAGTAAAAACAAGAATTAAAACCAGGCAGCCTGAATCCAGCATATACTGTATTCTCTTAACTTCTACTCAAGAAACTTAATCAAATCTATATTTTAAAAAAAAAAGAAAAATAAAGACTTTCCATAAGAGAATAACTAAACTAAAAATTTATTTTAAACATGGCCACAAACCTCTGCAAGTTGTCTTTGTAATTCTGCTATCTTCTGTTCATATATCATTTTTCTGTCAGACACAATGGCCATTAAGTTAAATCGAATTTCACCTTCACTGTACCTAGAAAAGTTATTATAAAATTTACAATGTAATAACAGAATTATAAACCATTGTTACTAAGATATCCACTGTGATTACCCCATGATTCTTTGATGTAAACAAAAACCTATAAACTGGCTAACAATAAAAGTTGACATTTTAAAAGCTTTTTTATAGTAAAGATAGAAAATAACTATTGCAAAAAAAAAAAAAAGCCCTGGTGCTATAGTCTCAAGCACTAGTTAGAAGGCTGAGGCAGGAGGACCACACAGCTGGAGGCCAACATGAACAACATATCAGTAGCGAGACATGTCTCAAAAATAAATAAATAAAAGGATAAATTTCGTCAATGTTTTAAAATGTTAGTTCCACTCAAACCACTTGAGATACTAAATTTGAAATAACATTTTCATCATTTTTTCCTAACTTCACAAGACATAAAAAGAATTAAAGATCTACTTTTGGTGTATTAATAATTATACTGGCAACTTGGTGAGAACTAGTCCTTACCATATAATGAAAACAGTATTCATGATATAATTTCTATTTTTAATTAATACACTTAAAATTTTTATCTTATATATAAACATGTAAAATATTTATATAATTATATTCTGTAGTAAAGCTTTTGAATGCAATTTGATTTTTTACTACTTGATACCAGTAAAACATCTCATAGCATAAGCTGGTTTATGGAAGGAACTGACATTTAAAAAACTATTCATAACATGTAAATGGTACTTATTCCTCATATCAAGCACAGCTAAAAATTCCAGACATACTATATTACAAGGAAAGAGGGAGGAAGGGAGAGGGAGAGAAGGAGAGAAACAGAAAGAATATGAAGGAATGAATATGAATTTTCACAGGTAGAGAAAGCAGACAAGCTGCAGAACAAAGGACCCAAGAACTACATGATGATGACTTCCTTGAGTTCTCTTCCTACCACATAAATCCCAGCCTTGAAGCTGAAGACAGCCATCAACTCAGCCATGCCAATACCAACAAATAAACAAAAATATACCCAACAAGTCTGCTTTCTCTAGCAAAACAGGACAGTGGGCAGCCTGCAAATACAGAAAAATTCAGACAATAATCACTACTGTGGCCAACAAAACAGAAAAATCTTTGACCTTACAGCAAAAGGCAAAGCAGGGAACCCAGAATTCCAACCTCACCACGCTGCAATGAGGCCAGTATGCTACTGTGAACAAAAGCTGAATAGGGAGGTAGGCCTTTCATTCCTGATAGGTGGCAATAAGAACAGACATTTGCAGTATCAGAAAACACGGAGTGGAGATCAAAACTGTCACTGTCATCTAGTGACAAAGCCACCAAGCCCCACTTAAGAATCAGTAAAGGACATGTGGAGAGTGGTAACAAGGAACTGCTATCTCTCCCAGCCAGAGTGGTATCAGTGCAAACCCTGTTGGGAGCCAAAACTCTCACCACTGCCCAGCAATAACAGGGAACCATTTTTCTCCTTAACTTCTACCTTCAACTTCTACCTGGCAGGAATGAAGTGGCACTCCCAAATTACTCTGCCAAGTAGTTAAAACAGAATTTAAAAATTAATACCACCAGGTGTGGCAGCACACACCTGTGATCCTAGCACTCAGGAAGCTGAGGCAGGAGGATCACTGTGAGTATGAGGACAGCCTGGGCTACATAAGGAAATTCAAGGCCAGCCTGCACTACATAGTGAGACTCTGCCTCAAAAAAAACAAGAACAAAATTAATAAATTATTTATTTATTTATATATATACACATATATATATATAAAATCATAAATACTCAGAAGGGTTAGAAGAAAGAATCACTGAACTAGAAGATAATAGAAATTACTCAATCTGAAAAAAGAAAATAAGAAAACAGACAAAAAAAAATTAATAGCACCTCAGGAATCTATGGAACTAAACAAAAGATCTAACATTCAAATGCTTGGGAGTACAAGAAAGGGAGAAAAAAGAGGGGTGAGGTTGGGAAGTATTCCAGGATATAATGGCTGAAAACATCCCAGATTTGACAAGACATAAACCAACAGATTTAAGAAGTTAAAAAAACCCAAGCAAGATAAACCCAAGGAAATCCACACAAAGACACATCAAAGTAAAACTTCTGAAAATTAAAGATGAAGAAAAAAATCCTGAAAACAGTACAAAAGAACTGCCATTTCTACAGAGGAATGACAATGGATATAACATCCAAAATCAGCAGGCAAAAATGTCAGTATCCTGGCAATGATATCATATGATAGTTTGTAAGACGGGACCATCCCAAGGCAAAAAATACACATGTCCTCTCTGCAATAATTCTTACAACTGAATGTGAACATGTAATTATTTTAAAAGGAAAGAATAGTATTTTAAAAATTCTCAAAAACAAAACCAAAACAAAAAATATTAAAAAAAAAAAATACGTGGCCAAGGCCAGGCATGGTGGCGCATGCCTGTAATCCCAGCACTTGCGAGGCTGAGGAAGGAGGATTGTTGCAAGTTCAAGACCAGCCTGGGCTACAGAGTGAGCTCAAGGCCAGCCTGAACTACATAGCGAGACCCTGTCTCAAAAAAGACAAAAAAAGACCAAAA